AAAAAAGCCTTACAATATAAAATATTAAAATATTTTCGTGGCAATCAAAGTGGATAGAAAACATATTCCTGCTCGGCTTTTGCAACCTGATTTTGATGCTTAACTGTATACAGGAAGTTATGAGACCCCATATTTGTTTATTGGAACAAGAATACAATTTCAAGATCAAGGAATTAATATCAGCTATAACGAATATTCGGGAGGTTATACACTTTTTTCCCTTGACCTGATGTTCGATGTATCTACTAGATATTATCATTTTAACATGATGAAACAAACAGAGAAGTTTATGAAATAAGACATGCTTCAGCAGGGCATTATCCAACACTATAAATATTTACGTCTATCTTAGAAATTGATCAGTCCAGAAACATCTTTATCGATGTCCTAAAAACGTTAAACGCTGTAAAAGGGTATTTCATATTCTCACAACATTTGTGTAAACGAGACAAGCTCAGAGGTGTACTTGCCAGTGATTAACTCCCTGACCAAGCAGCAATACAAATCTGCATGATTAATTTGTATCCTAGTCATCAACCAGGTAATCACTGGCACTATATTTACTTTTATCAAGTTGAAAAAAGGAGAATATTTTGATTAATCTGGACTCCCTCTCCATAACCCTAGCATTAGAAAATTCATTGTGAAAAACTGTCGAAAATTATTTCAAGGGCTTTATTCATCTGTGTGTAGACAATATTATGTACAACATGTGTATTATCTTTGCCTACATGTGTCGAAACAAAAACTGTTAAATAATTCTAGATCCAATAAAGATAGTAATGCTATTTTTGTTCACAATTTTGTTTCAAAACGTTTTAATGTGAAAACACTCTTAATTGATATGTCTTTTCTTGTAAAAATGTCCAGTTTTTTATCATAAGAAAAAACTGAAATTACTTGTCAAGAAGTTTTTATTGATGATAACAAAACTTCATAAGTTATGTTTAATCTGAAGATCTTCAAAAAGTAAGTCGCTTACACGTTAAGATATGTTAAAACCCTCCTATACCAAGATGGCACATAGGATCTGGTTCTGAACTTCAGCTTAATTGGCACGAGTAGATGAGAATGGTTACACATCGCCCATGGACGTGATGCTAGTCCAATACAGATTAACCCCCAGCTAATAGCTGGTACCCATCATACAACTAGGCAGACTGGAACAAGTAGGTAAAGTATCTTGCTCAAGGACACAACAATATGACGCTTGCCAAGCTCGAACTCGCAAACATCTGACTATGAGTCCAAAGCGTGAAGCCACTGAGGCACATTGTCCCACTTACACATTACATTTGACAAATCTAAGATAAAGTCGTCCTTCTCTACAGTATCCCAGAAAGTGTCCTCGATAGATCATAATAAATTTAAATGGGTTCCTCTTAGATTAAACATAGATTGAACAATAGTTTTATTAACTGGTGTCAATGTAGCTCTCAAATATAACCAAATACATCGTGGTCCAACATGACACAGTTATGATTAATCAGACAAGGATTGTTAATTTCACATGCTTCACATTGTTATTTCTTCAGTGTACTTGTAAAATATGATACAGGTGTTCAGCATACAAATTAATAAACAGTGTTTTAAGCTGACCATCCAATTTCTTATCTCTATGAAAATCAACAACGATATTTAAATAAGCGTCTATGTGACATATCTGAGCACATAACGAGGGGGTGGGGTGTTTCAGCATACAGAACGGGAATCACACAATTTTGCCTGTTTAGGAATTCAGTTGAAAAAAAGGTAATGCTTTCCTTGGGGGGTATAGTATTCCTTTTACAAAGTCCTTGAACTGATGAATAAGGATATTCAAGTTATTCTCGTAAGTTGCTACAGTGATGTATTGGTCAACTCCAATAGGATAAACATCTGGTGCTTCTTCAATTCATATAAAGGTTGAAAATCCTGGTTGTTTTTTGCTTCTGCTTTACTGTTTCAGCTTGACTACTGACTCTGGTGTGTTTTCATTTCCATATTGCTTACAACATATATTTCCTTTCCAGTAAAAGTAAACTAAAAATACAACGTATAGTATTTACTAAAAGGCAACAACATAATTTATGAAGATAATGAGACAGAGCGAGGTGTTTTTCAAAGGTTATTTTCAGGTACTTCAGGGTTTCTTCCAAAGAGATAACAGTAAATTCAAAGGATGAGGATAGTTTGTACTCATCAGCATGTCTGTTGTTGGATGTGAGAACATACCTGGATTGATGATCATTCCTTTGTCATTGCTTACCCTGCTAAAGAATGGTTACATCTTACTTCCGATTTCAGCCTTGTTAGTTTCTGCTACGCATCATAATGGCCTCAGAAAAAGTAAGAACATGACATCTGGTTGGACTGTCAAAGAGGACTAGATCCATGGCTTAAAACAGGCATGTGCAACTTCCTCCATGGCACGGGCCAGACAGCAATTTTTAAATGTACTTGTGGCCCACATCGTATGAAGCAAAAGTAAAATTGAAAAAGACTCTGATTTTCTTAGCAAAATTTCTTGTTATTACAATAAAAAGGGCACAAATAGAGTAGCAGTATAATATACAGTGAATGAGAGTATTATTCAAATAATAAAAGTTCGGAAAAAATATTATGTTTTAAATCATTTACTGTAACAGTATGTGTATCAGAGGCATTCGTAGCTAATAATCCATATTTTAATATTATACAAGTTTTAAGTTCTTAAATTTATATGGCAATATTTTGAAAAATCCTGAATTTCCCCTTGTGTGTGAAATGTAATATTTTTCTGTAGGCATCCCATCTTCTCTAATTTATACACACATACACAATAAGTACAAAATTTAGCGTAAAATACTCACTATAATATCGTCATCGCTCAAATAAAGCATAATTTTCCTAGAATTCAATCTTGTTCGATTACAGAGCCATCAAATAGAAAATCAATCCCCTCTTGTCACACACCCCCTATCACATCCTCTCTTTCAGGATTTATTAATAGTTATCTCTTACGTTTGATACTATATTATTTATAACCAATAGAAAGCCAATATTTTCATCTACCAGATGACGTATTATATTAAATTATATTTCATTGTAAATTTATCTTTTAGAATAAGCTTCGTTCCCACAGGAAAATATCGACTAACTTGGATGAATTTGTAACGGAATTTGTTGCATAGTTAGACAGTCTCCAGCAGTGATTACCCGTATATACATAATAATAGTCGGTAAGACAAAAATTAATAATTCAATGGAAAATGAGCTCATTATATTCTATTTGTCAAAAGTAATTTTTAATTCCAGAATTTTATCAGTTTGTAAACACTCGGAATTTCATTTTATTTTTATTTTTTGGTTGATTACAGAAAAAATATGAGAGGCTCATGGGCGGTAGGTTCCGCATGTCTGGCTTGGAAATTTAAAAGAAACTGGCGAGAATGGTGAACCTTGAGACAAACCAGTATTGATGATGATCCAGTCTCATTACCAGCTTCAATACTTTATTATGAATCTCCTAATAGTTAGTGTAGCTACGACTCATCTTACCATGTTACACTTATGCCGATTCTTGACAATTTGTAAGCAAGAATGTGTAGCTGGAATCTATTATAGACATCTTCCAAATATAAAGCTACAGCCAAGGTGTTCTAATCGACTTCAAAGTTTTCCCAAGTATCAACCACAATTCAGCACCATTGATCCAAGTTTCTCTTCCGCAGTGATAACCATAGACTTCTCTGGGCTTTTGCCAGTGATGTTTTGTAGGATGATTGTTCAATGGTCTTTAAAACGAGAGTGATCCTTCATGGGTTTGGGTAAGAATTTTATCATGGCATTAGTCCATATTTTAATAATGCTATATGTGTCTCAACTATGTTGATTTTCCAACATGACTTAGTGGGATGATTGTTGTAAGCTTCTTAAAAGTAGAGATTCTTACACTATCCGGACCTGAAGATTCATCTTTAGGTGTATTTATGGCCTTGCATATCTCATCTAAACAAAAAATGGCTTCTATATATGCAAGTATTTGTAGCTCGGATAGAGACTGCTGTAGCTTGAGCCTCTCGTGCGTGTTACCATAGTCACATTAGTCAATGTGTATGTGCAGCAAAGCCTTGCCTTGATTTTCATCTGTATGAAATAGAGTAGTGTAATCATCAAAAATAACTGGCATCATCATGGTTTTTTTTTAACTCTTTGTGGAAGCGCCAGAATGAAGTGCTTGTTAAATTGGCCTTGCTCCATAGTACATTCTATTTCGTGTCTCGTAGTTTGGAAGCTGATTGCAAGCAGCTAGTACAGATTCTATTCCATTTAAACGTTGTTTTCTCTCCCCGGGCTGGGTCATGCCTTATCCGCATGAATCGTGGGTATGATAATGTTCTTACCAGGTTTTCCCATTATCACTGTTCCACTCGTATGGAGTGTTCCTTTTGCAAAAGTTTTTGCTCTGACTTCCATTAAGAGTGTAGAGATGTTTGAGAGTACGAGCACTGCCAGAAAGCTTGACATCCCTGTATGGGATTCGAGATTGTTTTATACTCTTTTGCTTTCCAGCCTTCACGAGCACCTCACATAAGAGGTAATTACTGCAACACTATGTCCATTATACCAGACTGAGAAAATGCTGAAAATTGAGTTAGCAATAGCAAAAAGTCACTCATACTAAACTATTCATGACACAGCTGAAAATTTAGTAATTAGCTTTAGTTTTTCAATTCCTTTGTAATTCTATCAAGTTTTTTACACAGTACAGTGAATCAAATACGACAGATATTTAAGTTTGAGCATAAATAATTTTCTAGCATTTTAGTCTTTCTAAAAAAAAACGCATACATTAATAAATTATATAATTTATTACAATATACAATTCCAAAATCAAATCATAATAAATTTTATTCGCAAAATTCCCGTTTACAAGTACCGATAAAAACAACTAAATTAAATGCAGCCAATTTATGGAATAGAAAAAATACAAGTTCGCAAAATGAAAACAAACACTAGCTTTTTGATGACATTTCTTGTCAATAACCACGTTTTCTTGCTTCATTACGTAAACCTACAAGAAATATTTGGTATAATTTATTGCACTTAAATCTTCCGAATCGAGTTATTCTTTGATCAGCTATCTCTTTCAGAGTCTTCTCTAAATGAGCTCGTGCTTGTTCTTGAAAACTTGTCCCTAAATCCAACTTAAAAAAATAAAAATAAAAAAACGTATAAAACAATGTCGAGAATACTTGTAATATTATTGTAACTTAATACACTTTCTTGGGCCGAGCGTGGTCTAATGGTTAGCGTTCTGTTGCCGAAAAAAAAAAGACGCGCTCCGCAATTTAGGGTCATAGATGCGCTAAAAGGGTAACAATCAAATATCAATGTTCTGTCAAATAATAACAGCACAAGAGTTAGCAGACTTCAACATTACAGACAGTTATGCGCAAATAGTCATTTATGTAGATTTGTGCAAGTATTTTGAAATAAATTCGCTTTGTTTCCCGATGGACCAGCGTCAATTTTACGGATTGAAAACTATAAGATCCAGGTTTCGATTCCCTGTGCTGGATAGAGCGCAGATAACTCATTTTATAGCTTCGCGCTAAAACAAACAACAACAATTCTTATATTTTTACAGATATGACTTGTCTTCAGCATCTTCTTAAATAATTATTTACGAGACCACGGAGCATATTTAAAAGTTAGGAGTTTACTAGAGGTACCTCCAATCTAAAAATAATCCTAGCTCACAACGACCATCTTTTCAATTGTTCACTGGTATGTTTAGTGATTAGTCAGGAAAAATGGATGAAGTGGCTATAACCCTCTCACCTTCGCAACTCCTACAAGAAGAATTTTATAGGTCTGTGTAACTTTATTGGCCCAATGATGATTTGTAAAAAAATGTAAGGGAATGTGCATTCAAATATTTAGTAACGAACATCTCTTCTTCCATTCTTGCTTTCATCGCTTTAATGTATTATAAATTTAACAATTTAACATGTTGTTTACTTACTTTTCTGAAACTTTCGTAAATTTCAACAAGTAGTGGCTCCATCTTCCGGCGGTAAAACATTTTTCTGTTTCCATGAAGACCACCGACACCATGTTTTTCTGCATCTTGACAACGATTAGTGTCGTCACAAAAATCTGTTCGAAAATTCCATTCACACGGCAGAATTTTAACTAGACCTGAATACACAACAAACAAAATTCTTTAAATCAGTCTCGATCTTAATCGATTCTAATGACACGGTAATCCTTTATATAGTTTATTTAATTAAGTTCGACATACGAATAATTTTAGAAGAATTCTTCCCTCCTTTCTTGTTCTTCATAAAGGTTTCATAGAAAGTTGTTAATAATAAATTCAAAACCTTCTTTTTTAAAGATTAAACACACATCAGCCGGTGATTTGATAGCTTGTTATCCAATGCAGGCTCTTCTTTCTTCGATTAATGAGCCTGCACTGGATAACAAGCTATCCAATCACCTACTGATGTGTGTTTAATCTTTAAAATTGCAACTTTCATTAATTCAGACAACAGAAGAATTTCTCACAAGTTCATGTGAAGCTGAAGTATGCGATTTTTACTTGTCCTCATTACATTCATTCATTTAACCTTCTCTATTTCTTTATACATACATACGAACATACTCCTCTGGTGACTCAGCAGTAAATCCGAGGGATTATAATTCTAAAAAGAAATCGGGTGTCAACACCCGCGGTTGGCAAAGCACGGATAGCCCATTGTGTAGCTTTATGCTTAACAATATACATAAACTTAACTACAGAATAGCAAAAACAATTAAACGTAACTTCAGACATGTCATGTAAAGGGATAAATAAAATTATATGAAAAAATAATATATTCTATATATATAATAGCCAAATGTCTGTATCTTCTGAACGGATAATCGTAGAGAAAAAGCAAAATGCTTATTTTTAAATTACATTACAGGAAAGTTGTTAATTTTTTGCAATTCTGAAAATTTCATGTCGATATCGACATCGATCCGTCAGTTGTCGGTCAGTATGAGAAAAATTAATTTCACGAAAAGAAACAACAGCAACAACAGCAAAAAAAACATAAAGTGTCAAAGAGTGCTCATTTTGTTAGCGGTCTTTTCTGGAGCTCATTAAATTGACAAGGAACTGTGGCATCCAGTGAAAAAAATTTCCATAGCTATTTAGTGAACCTGAGCACTCTATTTTGCTGGATACCCATTGCATCAAAAACAAAACATTTATGCCAACAATGCATTACAGTCAGTCTCATTTGCTCAAAAACAAATGCAATGCAATTTTTTTTTATTGAAATAACACATGGAATGATAAAATACGGTTGTAAACACCCTACTAGACAATCATATTTCATATACGCTTTGATCCAAGGGATTAAGTTGACTGTACATTAAATATTTATTCAGCACTATTTTTTAGGAAAGTTACCATTGAATTGTTTCAACGGGCGAGATGCTAGTGTATTATATTTAACATTACAATTGATGAATATACGCAAATGATAAAGGTACAGTATTCTAAACCACACACACCCAGTAGCCCAACCTAGGAGCTGTCTTGGAACAACGGAGAACGTTTCCCAGCTAAGCACGTTCACATCCTGGCGACGAAATTTCTAACAATGACCTGGAACTTTCAGATCCTGTTTCAACTCTACTTCAGTTGATTTATCTCGGCATAGTGATACACCCCTGATTGACTAAAACAATGTAGTTTTGCACCTATCCCTTTTATTGTTCGAAACCCTAATTACTAATAGTAGTGCACCTACTTGCTGCGATAGACTATGATTCACATTAGAACTATCACAGATTAGTTGTGTTCAGAAGAGAGAATTTTAAATAGAAAATATGTAAAGAAAATTTTAAATATATATATATTTAACGATGGACAAAGTAAGTACATATAGCCCATTGTGTAGTCTGCACTAAAAATCCAGCATCAACATTTCTTTCAAATAATCATTTCTGCTGAAAATATCTAAATTAATTTATTCACTTTTTCATAGAAACTAGCACTGAAACTGTGAACAATCTTAACCAAGTAATTATAAAAAAATACCACTTGCAGTATTTGATCTACGCAACTGAAGATCTACATCCATCAATTTTCTGCAACATCAGATCTTCTTCATTTTTTTTACTAAGTTTAAATAATTAAGACATGCAAAATTTTGCAAACATCCTTTTTTGTGTTATTTGTGTGACTAATTTACACTTTTAACCAATGAATTAAGTGTAACGACTACATTGTTATTCTACTTAACAGTAGATGCGAGATTACGTTGGTAATTTTGCTAATTAGAACCCCTGTTCTCGATAAGTTCAAATAAGGATCATTTCCTTACCAGGCCGGTTATGAAGAAGTATGTTGAGTATGTCTTGATCACCATATTTCAAAATATCCTTGTACTTTGCATAGATCATCACAACTTTTCCTTCAAGGTCCTGTTGTCGGTAACGGGTTAAGTTGAACAACATCACTCCAGCGTTCAATCCTGCGTATAATATTTACTTTTATAAAAGAAAAGGCTACAGAGGATTACAAATTTCTATACATATTAATTCAACTAGCATTAAAAGGCGTCCCTCAAAGTATATAGATTAAATAAATAAAGATGAAATATAACAGTGAATAGAAATGTTCTATAACACTGACTGCAACATTTTAAACCAATTCCGACAAACCATCTAAAACATTTACAAATTCGTATGTATTTTAATAAAAAATCAGTTAAAACTAGCATAAAAATAATGTTTTTGAAATAAGAAATAAAGGTTCACTGGTCTAGGGTTCTCGGCTTTTTGCACCTAAAAGCCCATTTAGTTATTTGGCACAACAGTAAACGCCCATATATACTACGCGTCTCATGGCCCACTGTTGAGAATTATTTAACAATCTTTAATACACGCTTATTGTTATTCACAAACTCAGGTTTACTCTGGTACGTTAAACAAATCACTTTTATATGATGACATACTTTAAATAAAATAATAATAATAATCTAACTTAAATTAACGGAATGTCTTTTTTTATAGCGCGACTTTGAATTCGTACATCTTTCAGTTTTTAGTGTGTATTTCCTAACATTGTTTGTAGACTACAGAGTATGAGGCCCAACTTTTATACACTGCCTGTCTCAAAAAAACCTCGGTTACCTTCTCAAGACCTTGAATCTTACCTTACTGCAGCCTGTTTGTGGTAGCCTAAGAGGAAGACGGATAACAATAACGAGAACCGTATTTAGTAGGTAAACTACTGTTAACCCAACTACCGATTGTATATCTTAAGAACTACGTCAAGGATCGCACAATACTCTACCAACTTAAGAAAGTGGACTTATTAACACTCATACATAAGAAAGATGAAACCCTTGATCTTATCAAACAGTACTCTACAAACTTAAACAAATGGGCTTTAACACTCACATAAAAGAAGGATGAAACCCTTGGTCCGATCGCACAATACTCTATCAACTTAAACAAATGGGCTTTAACACTCACATAAAAGAAGGATGAAACCCTTGGTCCGATCGCACAATACTCTATCAACCTAAGAATTTCGGTTCATTAATAGTCATGCATGAGAAACATGAACTCTTTCAACCTACATTCGCTGTGAGGAAAATGTAGTCGAGTAGTTTTGAAGTACACACCCTACAGTCTCTCACACAGAATCCAACACTCAAATCATTTAAGAGCGTTAATCAATGTATCGATAGTTCCAATGAAAACCAGTACAAGTCAAGCCTTTTGTTTAGGATCACAGAATTGCCAATTACAATTACCTTTCTTTCTTTTAATAAAGCCATTGCTTCATCTCAAACATGTCCATACGTAGATTCAGATAAAGAATCTACAATGCTAATGTTACTTATCATCTGATAGAATATAATCGAATGTATCTGTGTGTGTCGTGTACAGTTCAATATGTTTTTTTTATTTGTGTATGAGTAAAAACAATACAAATACTTAGCATTTTAAGATAGTGCTTCATTGTTTTAATATTTTATAATGGTCTTCTAATAACCAGTTTACTGCTTGTTATAAAACTTGAGATCGAGTTATTACATTTTTTTTCAAAGGCTATTTTACTCAAGTTAATCCTTTTCTTTTTTCAAAGGCTATTTTACTCAAGTTAATCCTTTTTTCAAAGGCCGTCTTACACTAACTTTATTATATTTAATTTTACCTGTTGTTGAGAAGAAAGGGTGACGAGCATGGCTTGGATACCATCCTGCTCCCTCTGTTTCTGCATTCCGAGACATAGCAATAGATTGGTTTTCAGTCATATCCTCTAGGTGTCGCCACAATTCTTCGACCGGACGTAAAAAAATTAAATCTATGTCACAATATAACAGCGCATCAACATGAGGGAGAGCACTCTACAATGAACAAAAAAAGTGGCATGATTATGTATCGATAGTTTATCGATTAGTTTGTTTCGGTTTAAAAAAGATCATTCATTCAAATTATTCTTCTATCCCAGTAACACTAGTTGAAGATTTTTTTCTGCCTTTTCTATATTTGTAATAATAAATGAGTATGAACATTGACAGAAAAAAAAACAACAAAAATTCATGCTTCCTGAACTATAATCTATATAACAAGATTCTTTTGCTTTCACCGTTTACCAATAAAAACTAAGTTCGGGTTTAAATAACCAACTAGTTTGTAAAATTGGACACTTGAAAGGTATTACTAAAATGTAAAAGCAACTAACTCATCCTTTTCTGGATAAAGGTTCCCTTTGGTTGGATAAGGTTTTTTGTCAATTAGCAGTAAATGTATTCCCTGAAGAATACTCTCGAAAGAGAATTACTTTATTTGCATTAGTTATAAGCTATGAACGAAAAGAATACTTATTTATAATCTAAAATAGCTTTCTGTGTGGACTCCATTCGTGTTCTATTTGATAATACAAGACTTAAAAACCTTCAAAAAAGCGGCATAGCTGAATAGATCGATGAATATAATTTCTGTTAGATTTCACTGACTTGTTGTTCTTCATCTTGTTGTAGTCGAAATTAAACATGTTTGTTCATTTATTGTTAAGTACAAAGCTACACAATGAGATATCTGTGTTCTGACCACCACTGGTATCGACGCCAGATTATAACCGTTATACGCCCTCAGCAACCGAAGCCCTCTATATAAAACCATAGAGAGACCAATAAATGTGGAATATATGAGCTTAGGTATAACAAATGGCTTCCACGACTTGTGGGATATAACCTCTTATCTGCAACGTTTTAAAGTAAGATTAAAGTTAATAAGGCTTTTTGATAAATATATGAAACAAAAAAGTTAAAAATACAGAAGTGAAAAGATGCCGCTAATTAAATATATCCGCCCAACAATAAACTGATCAAAATGTGGCAAATTATTTTGTTAAATTAATTGGGCCTGTGGATAGGGAACTCGACTCGCAGTCTGCCGGTCGCAAGTTCGAATCCCGTCATCGAACATGCTCGCACTTTCAGCCATAACGGATGGGTGTTATAATGTGACGGTCTTTCCTACGTTTCCTTGATAAACAATTACCCAAGAGTTGGCGGTGAATGGTGTTGGCAAGGTGCTTTCCCTCTGGGTGGTAAAGAGTTACCCAAGAGTTGGCGGTGAATGGTGTTGGCAAGATGCCTTCCCTCTGGTTTATCAGTTCAAAATTAGGGATAACTAGTGCAGATAGCCCTCGAGTAGTTTATCGCAAAATTCAATATAAAACAAAATTAAATTAACGTTTTTTTTTTCAATCTCATGTAAAATCTTCAATAAAATATTAATTTATCAACCTTGAGGTGTTCAGTGAAAACCTTAAGAGAGAGGAATGTCATTCTTTTCTTCTAACGTAAAACGTAGATGTTTAATAAACTTTTCAGCTGGCGAAGTTCATACACTTTGTCAGGTTATCAATAGATAATACTGTTGTAAACTATATTTTCAATGTCACAACTTAGTTGTTTGATAGAGGGATCGGTTAATTAGGATGAAGAAAGTTCATAAAAGAAGACCTAGAATATCTAGAAAGTTCATAACGATGTAATAATTTAGAAATTTCGTGAAATTTTTAGCACATGATAAATAGGAGTAATCACTGCATGAAAGCTCAATGATAATTCAATATACTATTAAATTATATTCTGATATTCAGTTACACGTTGATTTACGTGTTTGTTCATCGATCAAACTAAGTAAGTCAGACATAGGTACCATTAAGGAATTTCTGTTGAAACGTTGTTTTGAACTTAAGCATATAAAATTTGAAAAAAGTGAGCGTAGACTGTAGCAAAGGTTGAAGAACAAAAAAGAAAAAAAATAATTCGTTATTGTTACCTGGACTGGACTTCGCACTATTTCTACCAAATAGTCCAAAAGATTCTGCCGAACGACCGAACACGTTACAACACTTTTTCAGTATTTTTGTGAAAATGAAAGAGAACTTCGACTAAACTTCAATGGAAAACTTACTAGAGAAGATAAAACAATGGAAAGAAGAACAAACAAAATAAAACAGAGGATAAAAAGAAGAGAGTAATTTAGAAAAATGATTCAGAAAAGTAAAATAAAGTTTGTTTGTTTGTAGTTATGCACAAAGCTACTCAATGGACTATCTGTGTTCTGCTCACCTGGTTTCTAGCGTTGTAAGTCTGCAGACATACCGCTGTGCCACTGGGGGGGGGGGGTAAGAATAAAGAGAGAATTTAAAAGAAAGAGACATGGTATTTAAAGAAGAATTAAAATCAGAGAATAAATTTTATTGAAAATAAAATCTATAAAGTTATTGTAGACCTACAGAGGGCTTACAAGAACAAGATGGAAGAAATACAAAAAGTATGTAATGACAAAATTGAAGAAGTATAAAATAAATCATCAGCGAAGTCCAGAAAGGCTGTATATTATTGAGGTAGAAAAGAACATCAGTGACAGAAAAAACATCTGGAAAACGAATTGTAAATGCAGAGATTAAACCAGCCATACCTCTTTCTGCATCTGCCCAACACTTATAACCTAAAACCATCTACTATGATATGTAGAATGGGATAATTTATTTGGTCTATACCTATTAACACTAGTGCTGTGCCATCTGTTACTACAGGATCTTCCTGGACTACACTTGCCATGTAACTACCAAATGAAATTTTAGAATTTAGCTGGCCAACTAAATAATATAACCTGATTGAGAAACCAACAGATTAGGGTAGAAAGGTACTGTGGGAGGCATATCAGGCTCAGTTCAAAATAAGTTGTTGTTATCAACAACAAGCTATTTCGCCTGTTATCTAGAAATTTAAAAGGATCTCGTTTAAAAATATTAAGCAACCTCCCAGCTGAGAGCTGTAACAACTATCATCCATTGATATCTACCTTATCCAATAGGTTCGGAGTGACACGCCAGAAATAAATATCTAAAGCAAAGTTCCAGAAGAGGGTATGAAAGAAACGGGAAATCCTAGCCAAACTTTTAGAAGATCTGGAAAGGCTTGCCCAATTATCTTATCTAGACGCTCCACGTAAAATGACTGAGTCATTGGCATGTAACTAATTTAAGGATGCCATAACATACGAGAATATAAGAATTAAGTTCAAGCAAAGTAGGTGTACATCTCTAAAGAAAGTTCTCCAGTTGGTGTTTAAACTTGAATCCATTAAAGTTGCAAATGAACAACTAAAAACACCATCTAGAAATTACGGGAACATCAGATCTAATAGTATTGAAACAGAAACTACCTCTAACGATAGTCTAGAAGAACTAAAAGAATTAGTTAAACAAAAAGTTGCCCAGAATGGAGAAAATAAATCACAGGACAATAAAGGTTTCAAGTGTATCTTGAAATGACATATAGCTAGGACAAAAGCAAGTAGGGAATAACAACTCCTCCCAAAGGATCTCAGTAAAAGGGATCTGTTGGAAACCCAGCCGAAACACTGAGGAATCAGCATCTTATAACACCCTAATGGTGAGTTTACGAGCTCAAACAGGTTAAAGGAACAACAGAGAACTAACCAGACATCGGTAAATAGGAAATAGTTGTACTAATAGAGCGAAGTTCAACTGAGAATATCCGGTCTATCCCAAATGAGACAGAAGGTTCATTATGTAAAGAAATGAGTCCACATATTTATTTATGGAAAACTTTGAGGTATTTTGTTCGACGCTGGTTCTACAGCTACAATACTTCGACTCAGTTTGGTAAAAAAATAAAAATAAGAAAATTGCCTCCAGAGGTGAAGAATAATAGGGATTGATGCGATAAGCTGGTAAACTTAATGTTACAGCACGATGAAGGTGAAAGCTACCTTTACTATAGAAACCTTCTATGCATTTCATGATGTGTGGGTAATTGACATCAATAAGGAGCGCATATTGAGAACTGGTTTATCAGAATGTGAATGAAATCACAAAAAAAGGATGCCTACACATTGCCAACGACTGATTCTACCTTGGGTGCTCTATCAGAATCAAAATATTTTTCAGCATTGGACCTTAAGAGTGAATAGGTATAAGTCAATAAAGCAAGTAGAAAGAAAATAGCCTTTACTGCAGGAAATTGAATGTGGCAATTTTTTGCGTTACCATTTGGGTATGTAATGCACACGATACTTTTGAATTACTAATGGAGTGTGCACTCTCTGAACTACCTTAAAACTTCAAATTCATCTACTCAGATGATACAGTCACATATAGAAAGATATTTGATAATGCTTATGACAGGCTAAGGAAGTTCTTGATCAGTTGAGGAAAGAGAACCTTAAGCTGAATCCCAAGAAGTGTGAATTGTTCCATTAATAGACGAGTTTTCTGGGACATATAGGGAACAGAAATGGAGTATCTACAGACCCATCCAAGATTGAATCTGTCCAGAATTGCCCACACAGAGGAACTTGTGTGAGGTAAGAGGATTTCTTGGACTATGCTCTTACTATATTGTAAGTTTGTGAAAGTATTCTCTGACATAGCTCATCCTCTAAAGAAATTACCCGAAACACCAAATGAGTTTTGTTGGCTTACTAATTATAAGTATTCAATAAATTGACGATAGAAAATTAACCACTACTTCTATGTTAGTATCTCAAACAGTTGAAGGTCCATTAGTTTTAGATACAGATACCAGTAAATATGCAGTACAAGTAGAACACGGAAAAATATGGAATTGCCTACTATAGTAAGGCAATTAATGCTGCAGAAAAAACGTATTGTAAAACTTGAAGAGAGAGCTACTAGGTGTTGTTTGAGTACTAAATCATTACCATCATTAAATATATGGATAAACATGTACATCCTGGACAGATTATACAGCAATGATGTGACTGGTGATGTTTTGCAATCCAAAAGGCCAGATAGCAAGATGGCTCTTTAAATTTCAGGAGTACAGCTTTAACATCATGCTTCACCAGAACCATGTACACGCTTATGCATTATCCCACATACCATGAGTTAAAGAAAAATGTAAACACTATGAAAACAAGATAAATATGACCAACCTAAACTACAACAGTTTGTTTGTTTGTTTGTTTGTTTTTAATTTCGCGCAAAGCTACACGAGGGCTATCTGCGCTAGTCGTCCCTAATTTAGCAGTGTACGACTAGAGGGAAGGCAGCTAGTCATCACCACCCACCGCCAACTCTTGGGCTACTCTTTTACCAACGAATAGTGGGATTGACCGTCACATTATAACGCCCCCACGGCTGAAAGGGCGAGCATTTTTGGTGTGACGGGGATTCGAACCCGCGACCCTCAGATTGCGAGTCGAGTGCCTTAACCACCTGGCCATGCCGGGCCAAATTACAACAGAGTATAATCCAAGATGTGGCATTCAGAAGTAATGGAGAACTAATGTGATCCATTACTCAACTGAACGATACTCAGGGAAAGGATATGAGTTTGAAACCAATTATATATCAAGAATATTGTAGGAAAACCCTTGTTTTAAACATTCTCAACACGTCGACAGCTTTAATGACCCTGGCAGTCGATAGACCTAAAGCCCAAATAACCAACTGGTAGCATTGCAAAGCTGCCTAATGATCGAATAGGGTTATTAGGCTGCTTTGCAGTGCAACCCCCCCCCCCCCACCGCCCATAAAAAACTGGTAGTGCACATCCTCACCTTGCACATGAAAAAATTCATTCCGCACATGGATTGAAAAACATTAGAGGGAACATTGATTGTCAGATCAAATAATGGAAAAACATCAACTTTGTCTGATGAAGAGCATAAAGGGTAAATTACACAATTATTTACACAGAACAGATGAAGTAAACCACAGGATAGTAGATGCTTCAATTGCAATTGCGGCCCGTCATGGCCAGGTGGTTAAGGCACCCGACTCGCAATCTGAGGGTCGCGGGTTCGAATCCCTGTCACACCAAACATG